TGATGACAAAAGTAAAAATCAAATTTTAATGGGAAAAATCCATTCATTAACAATAATAGTATGCTACTAGTATTTTTTGGCAAAATAACCTGGGGACACCCAGCTCCCCTGCGAGCTTCCTTCCCCCTCTCCACCATCCCCAAGGCCATACTCTTCATATAAAGTTTTATTTCTTTCAGCAAACAAGCTTTTAAATAATACCACATTCAATATTTTGTCAAACACTGACACTGATGATCAATGACATACAGCTTGTTTCTATGGCAAGCCCTTTTACTATTTATTCATGAAATAAAAATTTCCTTTCAATAAGAGAGATATCTCTCTAGCATAGAGGGATATCTCATTAGCTTATAGAGATATCTCTTTGATTGATAGAGATATCTTTATACCTTAGAGAGATATCTCTTTAAACAAAAGAGATATCTCTTTTTGTAAGAGAGATATCTCTTTAAGCGAGAGAGATATCTCTTTAAGTCAGAGAGATATCTCTTTAACACGGTTAACAGAGATATCTTTCGTAGTTGGAGAGATATCTCTTTAGATTTTCAAAAAGAGATATCTTTCTGAGCTAAAGAGATATCTCTTTTAATGAAAGAGATATCTCTTTTCCAGTCATCATTAAAATAAAATATTTAATTCTCCCCTTTAAAACGAAAGCAAAACAGGAAGTAAAGTCTCTGAAATAGTTTCGCTGTTATAAGAAAAAAGACTGATCGAGCATGCAATACCCAGAATTATATATATACTAATTACTACGTGGACAAAAATGCAATAAATCCCTTGTTTGAAACAGCAAATAATAATGGCAACTTAGAATATCATGAATATGTCGAAATCTAAAAATAATGGTTTTAAGTTCATAAAGTTCATATAATGTATCATCACTGCGGTCTGATATTCATAGAAAGATACCTAATTCTTTGTTTCTGGGGCTACGTCCCAAGATTCTGTGCTTCATCTTAAGATAGGTGCAGAACAACAGACTAAGAGTTCTGGAAACCAAAGCGAAATGTCGCGAGATTTCCTTACATCTCAAATCTCGTGCCAAGTTTGCTAAGAGATGCACCAAGCTTCTCTCCACGTACACTAAAAGAATGCATCTTGTAAAGAATACCCATACTTACTTGTAGAAGCATTCTGTAAACATGCAGCGATTATATAAAACCGTAAATCTTATATTTTAAAGAGCAAGAAATCCCCTATATAGGGGTCACAACCCAAGGTATTTATTTAGATATCAAAATGAAATAAAACGCTTTTAAATTGTAATATAAGAGGTGAAAGTTGATTGAAATGCATAAACACGAGTAATCCGTGTAGTCAACATCAAACATCCTTACTTATGGCAGGTTTGGTGTCGCTGATTCATGGGGAAGGCGCTGCGTTACTCCGTAGTCGACCTAACTGATCATTGATAGTGAAAAATCATACTTGATATTCAGTGTATCTATTTCGATTTTTTTAAGAGCTCCTTCTGAACTGTGATCTTTTTAATCAAGAATAAGAGTGCAAGAGGTGTCGAAATGAAATACAGTACTTTGTTCCATTAACAATGTGGAGCCTGTTTTCTTTAAAAATTATCGCTGAAAAATAACCCCCATCATCTCATTAGTGCTAGCCCACAACACCTCATTACTGTACCGTGAAGATGGGAGAGGAGACCTCTATCGATTTAATGGTCAATATAGGTATAATGTAACTGGTAAAACTGACGACAGACTTATGATCAGGCAGCCAGTTACGTGATTTTAGGAAGGGAGAGTGCCTAGTCACAGAATACCCTAACGTCATTTTATATGTTACTTCAGAAGGTGTTTGAACCCGTAGTCTGGTGACAAAATGCTTTAAATAGATATAAGTAGAGTCTTAAACCCAAACAAATAATTAAAGGTGGCATACCAAAATAAAGAAAAAATGACTTTAAAAATGGACAAAATAAAGTGCCTTCGAGAATAAGTGCATTACATTTAGGATTGTGCGTCTATATAGAGTTATTTTATTTCCAAAGATATTTAGATTCCAACATTTCAAAGTATGGATATTTTTAAAAGAATTTCATCAATTGAGTATTGATTTGATTACCACGGATTGCTAGCATTTTTTTTTATTTATGTGACAACTATTTTTTTTTCAAAGTGCTGATTCTATATTTATTTTACAATCCTACAATTGTCATAAATAAACTTTTTAAATTTTTTTTCCCGCAAACTTAAATTTATTTCAAAGTTGTAGATTTAAAGAATCATCTACTGGGAAGGTCGATTTCCTCTTTTCTCTGTTGCAGTGTATATTTCATTATAAACATCCTTCATTTACAAGCAGGGGATAGACAGACTTTTTGGCAACTAGCTTTTTTGATAATATTTAGGCAATAGAGTACCAATTCATTGATTAAGATAAATAATTCATTTTTAGTACATTCTCCAAAAATGAAAGTTTGGGCTTCTAAATGCAATGCTATATTTTACATAACATTAAAAAATAAATAATAAGTAAAACATCTTACGAGTTATATAAGGGTTGGCATGATAAAAGATTTGGTATTACCGCTTACAAGCATAAGTTTACTATCTGAGAATTTTTAGATATGAGTGTTTATATGAACAAAGTAAGTAGATTTATTGAAATCAGGAAGGATTGAGCAAGCAAGTGCCAAAACCCAGGAAAGAAGCTCAGCCAAAGACCTCTACTCTAGGAACATTTTAGATGGAATCAAGGAATAAGCTGTAAAAAAAAATTAAACGATTAAAGTAAAAAGTTGTATCAGAGATTCGTTGCTACTTTTTTAAAAACTATATACAAATATGAATTAAGACTATTGCGTAACACACGCCGAAGTTGGAGTTCCCGCTCGGCATCCATTTGGGAGAAACTTCGCGGCGGATTTTTTTCCGTAATCGTTTATTTGCTAACATTCGCTTCTTATCTTTCTTTTTTCTTGTTTTAAAATTCCTTTGTCGTTGACTTTTTTCTCTTGTAAGAAAAATTTCCATCCTGATGAAATCAAAAAAAGGTATCTTAGAGCAATTGTTTGGAATTTTTGTCAGAGTTTCTTATTTGAGAAGTGTCCATTACAGGTTCAAATATTTTAATAAATATTATAATAATTATGCATTAACAAGTAGAAATTATGAATTATAAATCATGTAATTATCCTTGCCACAATATTTTTCTGTTCTTAAAAATAGAAATAAACGCTTAAAACATCTTCCTAAAAAGGAAATGAGTCAGTGAGTGTGCTTAACGCAGGGGGCATAATTCATTGGGAAAGAATCTGAAGATACAAAGAACACCCGTGAAAATTTTGGCGAGTAGAAAATTTTAAGGGTACAATTTCTTTGTGCAATATACTTTACCTTTTTAAAGTAAAAATATAGCAGTAACCATGTGTTCATCATGGATTAAACTCGTTTATACACGTATTAAACTGAATTAGGATTCCCACGTCAAAAAATTTGACACGATATTTCAAATCAATACCAAAAAATTTTCAACGAGAATTTGATAGTACTTGAGCCCTTTAGAAGATTTTATATGTGCTAATTTTCACAATTCGTTCAAAACTGCTTGACAAAAAACTTGTTGAGAAATGTTGGCGAGTGGCATGTTTACTTGAGCCCACTCTTGGCTCTATAACATGCTGCCGTAATTGCAATGTTGTGTCGGAGTCGGTTCCCACCGCGAGCGGCGCTGTACTGAGGCCCTCTAAAGAACGACAAAGTGTGTATTGGGGACCAGGAACTGTGTATTGGGGGCCAGGAACACCTGGTTTTACCCCGTCTGATTGAGGATTATCGATCTCAACGTGTTTAGACAGTTGAATGAATTCTAAATAAATATTAAGATTAATCCCGATTGAACTCCTTCGCGCCCAGAACAGGGGCACGTTTTACAAAAGGACTTACGACTTATGACCGAATTCAATTCTTCAAATAACTTTTTAATTAACATTTTATCAAAAATTATTTTAAACTTTTTAAAAGGAAAGTGGTAAGATTTTTTTTTACACAACCAGTTTCAAAGAGAATTATTAATTTTGCAAAAATATACAGCAATCTGAAGTTTTTGGTCTAAGTCGTAAGTTCTTTTGTAAAACGGGCCCCAGGAAACGCGTTTCATATGTTTGATATTAGATAATGGCCCTCACCAATAGGGTCTTCAAAACAAATCTTGATTAGTTGGTATTAATATTATATTCATTGATTATGACATATTCATTAAAATATCTACGATGTATACTTGACTGAAATTAGTTATTTGCTTCCCCTTGACATCTTGCCATTTTGAACATGTAAATATATATACACGGATATTTTTTTATTTCCAAATTCTTCGTGGTGACATTACTGTTTTTTTTTCTCATTATATTCTTTATATAAAAATATACAAAAATGAATATTTTTTTTCTTTTTAAATTTTAAAAATTCTGTCAAAATTTTATTTTATACTGTATTGAATTTAGAAACGAACGTCATTGAAATTGGGAGTAAGGGGTTTATTCAAGTTCGTAAAATTATTTAATATTTTGTTCATTAGTTCTACATACTTATTCTTTCTTTCTTTCTTTTATTTTTAATTTTATTTGTTTGTGTGTGTGTGGGAGCGTGTATGTATGTGTTAGGGTGTATGAAATTAACTATAAAATGTTAAAATCCAATGAATATAATTACAAGCTAATTCAGAGAATTTGTGTCCCCCGCTTAGGGAAAAAGTAATCCATGCGCAGTTCGGGGAAGGGGGGGGGGGGGTCGGATCCCCCTGACTGAATTTGTAGAATTATTAAATGTATACATGTATACTGAAGCAAATAAAATATGCCAATATGGATATAAAGATTTGATTGCTTATTCTTTATTACTAGTATGTGTATAGAAGATTCTTTTTATATTGAATATTTATCACACTGTAATGATGATTTTATGACATTGTACAAGCCAGACCTCTTAAATTTTTTATATCACATGCTGAATACTATCATTAAGTAAAAAAAGTATTCCGGGGAAAAAAAGAGAATGGATCGTCCGGAATTCGAACCAGGGACCTCTCACATATAAAGCGAGAGACATACCACTACACCACGAAACCGCTTTCAACATTCAAAAATGATATGCAAAGATGAAGTCACATACATGTATATATTCACGTTCGATATTGTCAAAATTTTACACAATGCATGGTGTCTAATTTAACCTTTATTAAACAGTTCTAATAGATGAAATAAGAATATAAAGTCCGCCGAGAACCTGTTTTTATACGTAAAAACTCTCCTCATGCTCCTGAGCTAAATATAGCGACATGTAATACAATAAATACTCATAAAACAAACGGGGCGGGTCACTTTGAGAGGGATGAGAGAGGTCCTAGGGGGTTTTGGTATAAAATTACATTGCGAAAGCTGAAAATATTCTTGAAATATCGCCCAGAAAGGATAGTGTTACACACAGACAGAATGTATAAATTTACGACCTCGAACTTTGACCTTTTGACCTCAAAATCAATAGGGGTCTTCCTTAGGCCACAGGGAGTTGTTATGTAAAATTTCATTGCAAAAGCTCAAAGGGTTCTCGAGATATCGTGCAGAAACGAAAGTGTTATAACAGACATAATTTGCGAATTTATGACCTTGACCTTTGTCCTTTTAACCTCAAAATCAATAGGGTTCTTCTTTAGTCCATAGGGAGTTGCTATGCAAAATTTCATTGTGAAAGCTTGAAGGGTTCTCGAGATATCGTGTGGAAACGAAAGCGTTACAGACAGACAGAAAGACGGACGGACGGACAGACGGATGGACGGACGGACAGACCCAAATTAATATCCCCCACTTTTCAAGCGGGGGACAACAAAACAAAACGTACGAGTGAGAATTTTAACATTAATTTTGTGCTGTAATTACTTTACTGTCACTCAAAGTGCATATGCACATCATGTGCAGGCCCTTGAGAAGCAATTTCAGTAGGGGGAAGGGGGGGCACAGCCATACATTTTCTGGCCATGCATTGTAGAATTTGTTAACGATGGGGTAACCCATTTCATAGTAAGCAGTGGACTCGTCCAAGGATGCTTTGTCGGCGACTGTAAAAGCTACCTGAGATTTCTACGCAAAGGAAAGCGCGAAATCTCTGTAGAAACTGTTGCGGCTGCGGAGCTTCACTCATTGTTCATTCGCCATAGAAAAGAATCCGACATTTAACACTTAATATCTTTAAATATACAGACTTTTACAAGATAAGCTTCATTTTTGTCTCTAGAAATATTTTTAACTACAAAAATAATATATTTTCGTGTTGTTCAACTGAGTAAATCGATGACCTAGCATCGTTTTAGATAACTCAAGCCCCTCTAGGGCTTGAGTAAAATGGCAAAATAAAAGATTTGATTTCTTTTGAGAAAGAAAATATGAGAAAAAGAGAACTCAACTGAATGCATGTAAACCATACGTGCGAGAAGGACCAATAAAACAGGTACCTATTTAAACCAATGTTTCTCATAAATAGCGAAAGAAACAACGAAACGCTCATAGACAGTGAACATTAATTGTATTTCTTGAAGTTCACAATGGAAAATACTACAAGCATTAATGTTTTTGAAACAAATGAAGGCAATCCAATAGCAAACTTTTTACAAGTTTCCATAGAATTTCCAATTGCTGTGTTGAACGCCTTTGCAGTCCTGCTACTCTATCGTAGTAGAAACATTATGTTCAGCGTTCGCTTACCCGCCATCAACATGGCTATTTCTGACGCACTTATAGGGATTTGTCTTTGTACCTCCGACACTGTGGAAATATTTGAGAACTTTTGCATAACAAAGAGGTACTCCTTATTATCATTGTATCAAGTATCAACCTTAATCATAACATTTATGAATACAGATCGCTTTCTTTCCTTGCGATTCCCATTCAAGTATTCAAAATTAGTGACGAGGAGAAATGTGCTTATCGTCTGCTTCGCGTCTTGGTCCTTCGGGGTTTTAACACCAATTGCAGAAAACAGTTGTCATCGACATGATCTGAACGATCGCATTTCATTTCAGTGGACATCTGTATCCTTTCCAATCCTCATTTTGATAAACTTATTGGAGTATAGTTATATGATTCATTTTGTCGTTACTGCTAAAGTCGGAAAAATCAACACTAGGTGTATTCGAAAGGTTTCTCTTTACACCGGATGTTTTGTATGTTTTACGGCTCCATACACTATTATACAAATTATACATACAATGTCGATCGATCCTACACCCGTCCTACTTGCCTGTAAGAAGATCTTCGCTAGAGTGACTTTTTTTACGTCTTTAATCAACCCAGTCTTGTACTGTATTTTGTTCACCGAATGTCGACTTCAGTTCATGAAATTGGTGTGCTTCTGGAATAAGTCGTTTCTAGATTCATATATGATAAAAGTAAGGGAAACTATGTGTACATATTCTATCCAAACGATATCGAAATCGGTTTCTTCAAATGAGATGAAAAGATCAAATGTTTAATATCAGTAGAGTAATTCAGGAGCTTAAATTGGCAGAGTATTGTTAGGTTCATGCATATAATTACATGTATTGTAAAGCTGTTGAATTTTTTGTTGATATTTTTTCGCTTAATACATATATCAAGTTTGAATTCAAATTTTATGAAGCTACCTTTTTAGAGCGCAAATGGAGGGATTATCAAGATGAAGATAAAAAAAAATCCAACTGAAACGAAGCATACATAAAACCGTAACATACAAAGAAAGAAAAAAAAACAAACAAAAAAGAAAAAAACCAAGTTTGTCGCTAATTTTTTTCCTTTTGAGATTTTGTTGTAGGATTCTATTCTCAATATGTTTAATGCTGGTAACCATTTGCCTTTTTGTTATGCCTTTTGTTTACGTTGTTGTCACGTAAAACATACTCATTTTCATTCAATTAGCATAAAATATAATTCTTCGGAAAATTTGGGACTGTCTCAAAATTTAGAAAGTATTGTTTATGTACTTCATGTTACGATTTTCCTGACGTCTTTGAGTGGACGATACATGTATTAAGAAATAAAATTGTTATCACAAAGTACTCTCTCCTTACTTTTTTTAATGCATGCAATTTAATCATATTATCACAAATGGAAATCAATCCAACACCTTTGTTACTTGCCTGTAAGAAGATTGTAATGCTCAGGGATAGCAGTAATATTGATAGCTAACCCAATAAGCTCTTGAGTTGCGCAGCAGCATCTTAAATTTGTAAGCAATATAATCAAAGTGATAAGTCGATTCCACTAGACCTGTGCAGAATCCATGAACTCAATATATAATTAAGATTAATCTCTCACACGTCTCATTCATTCATAATTAGAATCACTTTAAATATAATTAAAAATGTGTATCACCAGAACTACTTAAAAACCTCCCAAAATAAAGGGACTGAACCAAAGGGGAATAACTCTAGACTAATGGAATAATCCCGTATAATGAAACATTTTATTTTATTAATGTAAACAGGATTTAATAAATACCATTTGTGTACTGAGTTAAATTACTCAATTGTTCATTATAGTTACCTATTAGAGACAAATAAATACATTTATAGATTCTAATAATTACCAAAGTGAACATACAGTTAAATTACTGTTTCATTCACATGGTTATCTCTACTTGAAGTATAAATAAAACAACTAAACCAAAAGTGTATATCACAGTTTATTTACTGCCTTGATATACGCTCGGTTAGTAATTGCTAAGTCCTTTGTCAAAAATTCTAAACAGAAAAATATGACTAAGAAAATAATCAAAAGTTTACTTAAAATAATTGAATTTACTCTAATTCAATTTTGAAAGATTTCTCAATCAAAAATAAATAAAATTTCAATGAATTTCAATCAAATTAAAATTCAATAAATTTCCGAAAAATATCATAACTCAAAAAAAATCACGGAAATAATATCTTACAGTTAAATCACTGCAACAGTCATTATCCCTGCGATTTAGATAAGTAAAAACCTAATCCTAAACAAATAAATAAAAGGAAAACAAAAATAAAAAAAAACTATTAAAAACACTTGGTACCAACTATTCTAAAATCAATGTAAAAAGTGACTGCCAGACGTCAAACCTCTGTATTTATACCAAATACCAAACGATAGTCAAATATCGCGGCAACATCGATAATCAATCATGTGATCAAAATTGAGACATATGATAGGATAACAGAAAAAAATCGCTTTTGGACAAGCGCCATCTAACGTGTGTTACATGTAATCATTGTAAATAACTGATAAATATATATATCTTAAACAACTTTCAATCAATAATTTCAATAATACACAATGTTAATCCAACTAGGCCTATATACTGACCACATCAAATAATCAATATTCAAGCGTAAATTTATCGACAAAATGAACAGTGAGGTAACCGGAGACGAGCATACAGAAAAACATGTGGCTGCACATACTCTTTATATTCAGGTCAAATAGCAAAGGTAACATGAATTAACTTAAACGTAACAACACATTAAGTACAACAAAATAATATCATTGATATCAACAATCAAGACGAAACAAAAGATAAAATGGAATTCATGCACAGACCGAATTACCTCGACATTGTTTACGTATACTAATACACTACAACTCGTATTCTAGACTTCTACATCATGTCATAACACAAACATATTATTATTATATAACCCTGCAATACACGATGTCTCTTTTGATTCATTCCTACCTTATGTAAATCAACATTTAGGTGTACATCATATTCGCACCAAACCTTACTCTGCCCCTTTGAAACTTTTAAATAGTCTTCTTAAAAAGGTCAGAATATAGGCTCGGATCTGTGATTATGGATATTGCCAATCATAGGCTTTTTAAACCCGCACGTTATACGGAAGAAAATGCAGCTAAAAGAATCCGTCTTTTCATTTAAACTTTAATATGCCAATAAAGGAATTAACGCGGTTAATATAAGTAATATTCTTAATCACAAAAGGGTCCAGTCTTGTATTCCACCATATTTCAAGTTAAAGACTATACCTTGTATTTCCTACAAATATACATCGACCATTGCTTCCAAACTTTTCAATTACAAAAAAACATTACATGGCCTGGATACCGAGTATCTGAAGCATAATCCTCCATCGTGTTCATGTTCTTCTTCGCCCTATAACTATAGTCCTGCTGAACACGTTATTACAGGTGACGTAAATATAGTTAATAATAAGGACCTAGGTCACTTATTTTAAAAAGTTCTAAATATAGGGAACCCCGATCCTTCAACTGGCCAGTGGCGTCGGAATTTCATAAATATTATGGATCTCTTGAATAAATCTCATTATATTCATATGAAGCAGAATTTGTGCAAAATCTTATGCGTGAAAAGAGGAAAACACTGGCTGTGGCCTTCAACTCGACATTTAGATATATCGACGACGTATTGTCAATTAACAATGGTCATTTCCATTCCTACGTTGATACGATATATCCTGGTGAGCTTGAGATAAAAAAAATACCTCAGAGTCTGACACATCTGTTTCATACCTGGATATTTTACTTGAAAAGACGTTAATGGTAATCTAACAACAAAGCTACTATAATATATGATAAACGTGATGACTTTAACTTTTCTATCGTCAACTTTTCTTATTTATGCAGCAATATACCTTCATCATCTGCATACGGTGTTTATATATCTCAGTTGATTCGATACGCAAGAGCATGCTCTACGTATGAACAATTTCTAAAACGTGATTAATTATTGACAAGCAAGTTGATGAAACAAGAATATCAACAGTCTCGTTTAAAGTCATCATTTCGTAAATTCTATGGTCGATACAATGACCTTGTCATGCAGCAAATACAATTTATCAT